GTAAACAAAACAAGAGCAAGAGAAAATAACTGTACCACATTTGCTGGCAAGATAGTACAAGTTAATTTTTTTCTAGTTTGATAAGATCATTTCTCTGAGAGTTTAAAATTTTAGATGCCTGGTTATAGCCAATGACTACTTATTTTTAAAGAAATCAGATCTATAAAATGAAAGAATTTCTTTATAATCCAAGAATGCCAATGGGGGTGGGACTGAGAGAGAAATCATAATGGTTTGAAGGCCCTCCATCTAATCAGGTAGTGGTACTCTGATTTACCATCTGTGGCAGGATATTAGGAGAAAAGGAAGTTTTATGTTCAAAAGTATGGTGAATATTTAAATTTAAAAAATATTACAGTACATTTAAAAATATTACAGTAAAATATTACAGTAACATTGCAGACTTGCAGTGTTAGTGAAACACCAAAGCACCACAGGTACCCAGTTGAATTTTACCTCCATAGCTATCATCACAGCCTGTGTTTCTTTGGATAAGCTGCTCATTTATGGGGTGGGGATAGAGTGTGGAGGGGAAGAGATTGGTACTTCCTGTATTGCCAGCCTGTGCACTGGAATGAGCTGGGTCTGGCTTTGCCCAGCCTGGCAGTGGCCCATGCATGGTGCTGGTTCCCAAACTGGGCTTATTGCTATCAATCTCTTAACACTTCTCTTTGCTTTGAACACATTTATCCCATCATCCGTACCACTCTCTGAAGCAGTTCTGGAAGTCCTCTTTTGTGAGTATCTCTACTAGGTGTCATCAAAACTATAACTGCTGCTGCTATTCTGTCCAATGGGAAGCCAGGCTTATAAAAATATTATGTTGTGTCCTCATCCACTTTACTAATTGGATCTTGTACTTGTGACTTCTGGCTCTTCTCCAAATTCAAAATGACCATAAAAGGTAAATGTATGGATTTGATTCAGGGCATTGAGGCAGTCACAACAGTGCAACTAAAGATAGTAAGGCGTTGCTTTTTCTTTAGATTTCACACGTGAAATAGTACTAGAAGGCAATTTTCAGTGTATGTACATAAGCTTACTAGGGAATTTTTTCCCCCTGAGTTTCAAGCTATAAGTGACAAAAATTGTGCCTACTTACAATGTAGTTCAAGGAATAAGTGACAAAAATTATGCACACTTACAATGCACAATTTATTTATTTATTTATTTTCGGTTCCAGGAATCAAACACATGACCTTGTGCTTGCCAGGCAAGTGCTTACACTGCTGGGCTAAATCCCTGGCCCAGGATGGATGTTTTGATATCTGTGTACATTGAAATGATTAATCCAGCTAAGGAATTGTTTGAAGGAACATTGCGAATCTTAGTATTCAAGGGGCTCTTGAGATGACATCTAGGCCTTTTGCCTTTCATGAAGGTCAGATGACATGAAAAACCACATAACTTTGACATCCAGAAAGTCTCTTTAGGCCTCTCAAATGATAGGAAGCTAAACCTCTCTTCACTTATTGGGCTGAGTCAGAGCCTTTCAGATTTTGATGACTTCTGTCACACTGTCTCAGTGCAGGGTTTGGGGGTTAGATTTTCCTCATTGAGTCCAGTGGACACATGTCCATCACCTCAGGAGGCTTTGATTAAGTGTAGCTGACCTAGCACCTGAAATGCAGTTTTAGTTCTGACCCCAGGGGATGCACAAGAAAGTGCACTGTAGAGCCAGGGAATGGGAATTAATGAGTGGGTCTACCACCAGCAGGGTAGGAGTATAAAATGTGGAAGGTGCAGTCTGTGGCACATGATGGGTCACAGGAAGTAAGGATGGGGTGTACGTATGAGTATCATAACACAGATTTCCATGCCAGGTTATAGTCAGAAAAGCAAATAGCACAATGAAACTTATTATGCAACACCTTTTATAATATAAAACTATGAGCATAGGACAAAACTGTGTAACAGAATGCTCTCATGGTTAAAGGCATACATTGAACATGCTGCAGGAGTGGATATTTTGGGAGAAGTAGTAACAAAGGGTCCTCGCTGACCAAGGAGGACAATGTGGTAAGCACTGAAGAATGTGGCTTCTCTGGTTTGAATGTGTCCACTAACCTTTCATGTTTTAGAAACTTAACCCCTAAATTCTTATGGTATTTGAAGTAGAGTCTTTTGAAGGTAATTAGAGATAAATAAGGTCAGGTAGGGCTCTTATCAGGGACTGGGAGCTTTGTAAGACTCAAAGAGACCTGAGCTGATGTGTTTGCTCTGTCTCACTCTGTGATGTGCTTAGCTCTAGAGGATGCAGCCTCAGCAGATGCTGCACAGATGCCAGCACCAGGCACTTAGAACCCCTGGGCTCCAGCACCGGAAATTAAATAAAATACATTCGCTGTATACGTTGCCCAGTTTTTGGTGTCCAGTTATAGCAACAAAAACAAACCAAGACAATGGCTAACTAAACTTTTTAAGGAGTGTAAGAAAGAAATTATTGAGAGAAATAAAAAAGGAAGTGCTTCAAGTGAATCAGAGGCTCAGGCAAGGTTGGCCTGTGATGCTCCAACCTTATGCAACAGAGACAATGGAGGCACAGTGAAAGGAAGTGACCTCTCAGTGTCACCCTCCCACCCCCTTCCCTTCAGTGCCACCTCCTTTAAAGGTCCCACAGTTCTTAGTTTCTGATTCTTTAATCACCTGTGAAGCATGAAGTAGCAAGCCTGGCACTTGATTGAACAAACAATTAGTAGAAGACCACATATCTTATTCTGTAACATGCATGGTTGTCTTCTTTTGGATTTCTTGACTTGGTTTTCAACATGCTGAATACTCTGACTCGCCATTTCTCTCTAGCTTCCATTTACAGAGTACTTAATTGGACAAAGCATTGTGTCACATGCTTTACCTAAATTATCTTCAGTCTGTACTGGAAAATCAGTGAAACCTGTTCGCATTTTCTAGAAGACTCAAGCATAGAGAGGCTGTGTATCTTTCCACATGGCAGTTAAATATAATATTCCATGAGTGTATCACTCCAATTAGGACTACCATGAATCATGAATCATTAAGGTACATATAAAAAGATAATAAAGGATATAAATTACATTTATAGAAAGGGCTAACCTAACGTTAGTATCCAAGCAGAAAGAAATGCATGAAGTTTTTTCTTTAGTAATGTCTCGTTATATCTAACCATTGTTTTCTTTGGGATTGCAAAATATTCAGACACGAAATGCTTAACAAATATGCCTTCCTGGGTGTCACATTTAGGTAGCTCTCATTTCATCTCCAAGCTATGGAAATCCATGTCACTAAGATATTCTGTTTTATGGAAACAGTGAGCGATTGGAGTGATTTCTGGCAGTCACCTCTTGTTTGCTCCTGTTATTTATAGCACGTTCATGGCTATGGACACCCAGTGGCATGATTTATTGGTTTCCATCCCCACATTATCTCTTTATAAATTATTTCCGTGTATTTTAGACTATAGTCTACAAATATCTAACTGATGAACATCTGCACATTTACCCAGAGAAAGACCACACATGTCAATGGCTTAAGCAAAATTATTCAGTTTAGAGGCACTGCCAGTGCAGAGTGGGTTTCTCAAGTGCAGCCAAACAAAAAGCACTGCTTCTTTACAAGTACAGCATCTGCAGGTCAGCTGTGTTGCCACACAGCTGCCTTTGGTTCTCAGTCTATGCCTTTCATGTTGTACACACCACCTACATTTTAATTAGAAATTCAAGACACCAAAGTCTTCATTGGAAAACAAAATAAGTCACAAGATATGCAACAAACCCATATATTAGCACTTTGGAAGAAAGTACGCTGTGGCCTGGAGCACTTAATTCAGCTTCCATGGCTTTGGCCAATGGCTTCTCTCTCTCTCTCTCTCTCTCTCTCTCTCTCTCTCTCTCTCTCTCTCCTTTTAATGTTAATTTTTCGCCTGCTTGATTTTTGCTTTGTGATGCTGCTTCTTAATTACTTGCATTTATACACTCAGACACATAAAACACAAACCCACGCATGTTCCCTGGTTAACTTTTACCTTTACAAGTTTTATGCAGTAGCCACATTCTTTTAGAAAAAAAGAAATTGCTGTTTGCTCACTGGTATCCAGTTAGGACGGACACTCACACACACACACACACACACACACACACACACACACACCCCTCAAGAAATACCCAAGAAAATATTGAATTTTGACAATTTTGAAGGTGATATGCCATAAAATAGAAGCAAGTGTGAAAAAAATCTCAGAAACATTGAACTTTCACAGTATTGCATAATGAAAATATTTTAGTTCCCTCTAGCCAGTTGAATGGTTCCCCAAGTGCTATTATAAGAATGTTGAAATTCATGATGATTTTCCAGCCCCTCTTGGAGAAACGTGGGCCACTACATTTTTTTCCTTTCGGAACTGGGGATCGTAGACCATTACTTTCTATAGGTAAGACTTCATTGCTGTAACTATGTAAAAGGTCTTCTGATTGAGACCACCTTTTGAAAGGTTTGAGGATGTGTTGAAAATCTGTCATTTTTCCACAGTTACTTTCTGTAGTGGTCAATTCCTTCCAATGGAGTTATAGAGAACATGCTACTCAGAAAAGTCCTCTCTGGATAAACATCACAGCCTCTATACTCTGTTCCCCAAGTCTTTTTTTAGCCCTGCTTCTAAAGGAAATGCTTCTTCCTGAGTCCCCCAATCAGAACTTTCACTTAATTGCTGACAGAATTGCCCAAAGAGAGACTATCATCATTCCACCAATAAAGAGATGGCCACCCCCTACCCCAAGACTGGTCCATGTTTAGTAATGTAACTCTTTTATCAAGAGCAAGGAATCAGACACTTCATTTACATCATGGTATTGGGATCTGTGATACTAAATGATACTAAAAACAATGACGACAATCATTCAGACTGCTTTGTTACTGAAGCACCCACATCTCAGTGACCCAGAACCTTTAAAGTGCTGATTGTTTTTAAAAGTTGCTAAATTACATGCGTGGCATGATGTTAATTCTTAAAACAAAAACTGGAGGCATTTTATAGCTAAACAGTTTTATTGGCTTTTTGTGAAATAAAAAACATGAAACAAACCACCATGGTAAAAGGCCATAATCAGCATCAACCAAATGAACCAGCCACTTGGTCACAGTAGCTGATAACAACATTAGTGGATATTATTGCTTGTACCCCATGTTCATTTATATGTCCATTACATTTTGGCAAGATCACAATAAATGGGAACTTTGGTTGTATAAATTCAAACTATGACTACTCATGAAAACTCAACCTCTATTATCTTATGATGGGATACATGTCAATTCTTTCAGAGCCTTGACATTTATCCTCTCATTTGGACTCGTGTCTCCTTTCTTTAATAATTTACAACCTTATTTTAAAGAATAAAGTGGATGTACTCGTCAGCATCCTCACTCCACTGCTGCCTCTTTTGTCATGAGAGGTGATGTGTTTCTGGGCCTCTCTAAGCTCTTGTGTGTTTCCTTTGCAGGGAATCACTATGCCCATCTGTAATGTAGAGATTTTCAAATGCATAGCACTGTAGCACTGGGGTTTGGAGTCAACTGTCTCTTTTCCATCTTTGGAAAAGCTAAAAGAAAGTTAAAAGAAAGTCAGCAGCCCTTAACATTGGAAAGTTGACTTTGCAGCGGGATGAGCCCATCCCGGCCACATGGCATCCCACAGCAAGTATGGAGCTGTGGCCTTCAATGCTCTGTGTGTGCTGCAGTATTTGAATTTATAGAGAAGCAGTGACTGACTATCTCTTGAAAGCTTCCGGCTCAACGTTTTATATTTTAACACTGAGAACTTAGAAGGACCAAGGGTCAAAACTAACTCACGATAGCACCATATCCTAGACTCCTGGGATTAGATTCCTTTCTGTGTTGGGGAAGGTGGAGACTCCGCCTACAGATGTGTGCTCTCAAAGGCCCCGCTAAATTTCAGCAGGCATGGTGTCCCACCTTAGCCTGTTCCTGCAGCAACATGAATTTTCCCTGGGAAGAGTTAAAAACAATGTTGTACAAAATGAAACCGGCCACAGGTGGGAGACCCGAGGAAGCCTGTTTCGGTAGTAAAATGTGACAAACCTGTAGATGGTCAGAAAAGTCTAGGGACCTTTTCCCTGCCCATCTCAGTTCAAGTCAGTGGAGAGTCTGCATGCAGAAGCATGGCGAGACCAAGGAATACTGAGAGACAAGAACCCTAATTCAGCAATCCACACACCAATGCTCTAACGGTATTGAATGTATTCAGGTCCGCCAGGAGGTCTGCCCTGGATAATGCTGTAATTTAATAAGCCCTTCTAATGATTATAAAGATTACCCTCTTGAATCTAAGACATTTTAAACAAGGAATATTTGCTATCACTATATTTTACATGGCACATATAACCATATAATTACTAGCACTTACACAGCAAATATTGTAAATACACATTCTTGGAGTTGAGTTGGTAATTATACTGATGTTATTCAGCAGAACAAAGATTAAGCACTTTCAACTTGCACGCTGGGAGATTCCAGCCCAACCTTTTACTTCACAACAAAAAGATAACCCTCTAATTACATCATGCTCAGTGGTCATGTGGGCCCAGAGACTCACAAGGCAATGTCATGGTCAATTTGTGGCCTGTAAAACAAGGTAATACATAGTATTTTTATTTCAACAAAATACAAGAGACCATATAAAAATATTTTCCAATTTGGAATCTGAAACATGAAAGCTGAATATTTTCTTTGTATAAAAAGAAACAAAGTAACGGACTAAAGTTTATTAAGCCGTCTAACAAAAAATAGAAGTATTAGTTTAAGGAATGCAGTGAGAGTCAGCTTCCCTTTTTGTCCAGGCTCATGGATGGTGAGCTTGTGCTTTGATCCTAACAAAGATAAATGCACAAAAGTGGAAGAAGGTCAGTGCCTGAAACCTGAACTCTATCGCATCTCTAAGAAGACGACTAATTTTACAGTAGTGCTTTGAAAAGCGGTGTGTCAGATTACTGGGTGTTTTTTGCTTCCTCTTCAGGCCACTGCTGGAGATGAATTCCAGAAGCACCACTTGCGTCTTGAGTGATGTTTATTTAGTGCAATATCTTCCTTTTCTCGCTCCCTTTTCACACGCTGGTAGTGGTCTTCCTCCTTCAGGTACCACACCGGGGGCCAGCGGTGCCGCTCAAAGTACTCCTGGTTGTCTGGTGAGGAAAGAGACTGGTGATAGCCCTGCTGCAGAACTCAAATTGTTCTATGTGCTGGGCCTTGTGACTCCTGCTTTGCATATATTCTCTCGCCACCCCAGTGTGGCAGGGACTTTGATCAGGCCCACTTACAGAGAGTGACAGTAAACTTTTAGGAGACAGACTCCTGTCTTCAGCCTTGCATCTGGGTACAGAGAACCTGGACACTTTGCTGCAGAGTCTGAGCTTCTCTGGAGGCATGCCTCCCTGAACATGAGAGTGCCACCAACTACAGGCTGTGCCCAGGGATCCGAACTCCAGCCCACACTAATCTTCCAAGCAAGTCATTCTGCAAAGAGCATCCCCATCCTCCAATTCTTTGGATCACGTCATATGTGAGGAATTCTCCCCAAGCCACCTTCTGAGCATCCTGTCTCTCCTAGGCATGGAAGGGAGCTGCTCCACTCACAGCCGAGGAGAACTGGACAGATGGGGACCTGACACAGTCTTACCTGCAGATTTTGATTTGATTTCCTTGCGGAACTTGGAACAAACACTGTTGTAGTTGGTGCAGATGTGGTGCAAACACCAGGCAGCCAGCTGGTTGGCATTGTGAAACTGCAGAAAAAAGATCAAAAGCAAGTCAGGTTCTAGTTTCTAAAGGGAGGCTGTGAAGAAACAGGAAACCATTGTAGGGGTGATAACAAGTAAAGGGTCAATAGAACGAGTCCAGGAATGCTCTTGTTTTGACCTCAATATTTTAACTTCAGCCATGGATCTGATGCCAGGCAAGTGTAGTGTTTGATACGCCCTTCCTTAACCCCCCTCCACTATGATAGACGTGCCCAAAATAATCACTATATTGCATGAAGAATTTCAAGCATGCTTTGCCCTCCCACTTTTCTGTGCCACCTGGCCCTCAATGATAGGCGACTGTGCCCTCTGGAAGCAGCAGGCAAGAGGAGGGAGCAGCAATGTCATCTCCGTTTAAGGAAGCCTCCGCAACAGAATACTCTGTGTCACATGTCAGAGCTCAGCTTGCTGGGGCCAAAGATCCGAAAGAGGAGACTGTGAAATGCATGACTGTCCTATACCTGTCCTTTGGTTACATAACGAGAGCAGGCAGTATGGGCAGGGTGGGAGGGATCCAAGTACTCCATGCTTCTCTTTTGAGCAGAGGCAACTGAGGGGGCTATAACTGAAAAAGACTGGACGCTCAAAAACTGATAGCCAATCAACTCTCCTTTACCTTGTAAGATCTGGCAGGATTCTCTGACCCCCTCCCCTTCTAAGTCTGGCTTTTCTTCAGCCAGGCGAGATCCTGGAACTACATGTGGCTCCCCCATGGTGCACTTCTCCACTATGAAGACCACTGGAAAAGCCCAGGACCTCAGAAAACCACTCATGAGACTCAGACAATCGTAGCCCCAAACATCTTGAGAGGGTGAGGCTGGTGCCTCCTGGCTTCTTCTGGCTTTTGATTTATCTTAGAAAATAAGGTTGGACCTATGGTATGCTGAGTTGGCTTTTAACAGCTTGAAAAAGGCAACTGTGTACATTTCTTTCCTGTTCTGAGTTCAGTAACTTTGTGTTGTAAAACTGGCCATGATGGAACCATTTATAGCATAGAAACTGAAAATGCAACAGATTAGGGTCCCACATGCCCCGAGGCAATGTTAGACACTCTCCAGCACATGCTTGGGTTAAGGTCTAACCAGTGAGTAGGGGACTCCATCTAAACTGTTTCTGCCAAGGTTTGTCAAGGTTTATTAGAAATATTTCCTTGCAGGGTACGTGCATGGGTGGGGTGCAGGGACAGGACAGAACGGCAATACAGAGCAAACCTTGGCTCAAGTGAATTGGTCCTATATGAAATTCTGAGTCACTTCATTTTTACTCTGGGAGAGATACTGGACAGAGCCAAAGTCATAGATTATCCCCCAAACTAGGGGTGTTTCAGAAGGTCTCAAATTTCAAACTGTGGGCATCACAACTAATTTTGATGGGGCTTGCTGATTCTACACAATGGATGTCTGCCCTCAGTTTTCATTGAAATCACTCATGAGGGTGTTTTTCACACTGAATTTTAATAATCTGTGATGGTGTTTGTTTCTTTTATCTGCCTGTGATTGTTCAGAGGGCAAAGAATCTATTATTTGTATGTACATGTTCTTGGCCTAGAGCAGTGCCTGGTGTGGGGGGAGAAAGTGACATTCGTTACATGTTAAGTCCCAGCGAATAGGCTGCTATAAATCCTCATCTGCCTTCTTCCCCCTTGAACCCAGGCCATCTCTTCTGGCTTCAGCTGGACTGCCTAACATCTGCTCCACGGCCACCTTCCTCTTCCTGAAAACACCTCCTTTCCTTTGGCTGAGAAATATCAGTCTAAGCTATCTGACTGAAGATAACAGTAAGCCACCATCCTGACAGAGAAAAGCAAACTTAATGGGCAGAGAGATTGCACAATTAATTGTTCATTCTTTCAGACTGTAAACTCGCTGTTCATCAGTTTGTGCCAGGGACCAGCTCATTTTGCTGATGTGCCTTCCACTACAAGACATTTTCCATTCCTTGGACTGTTTCTTGAACTTTCCTCCTACTTGACTTTCACAATAATCTGTAAGGTTGGGAGGGTGTAAGTTACTATCTGACTGGATGAAGAAACAGAGGCAGAGGTTAGCTTTGCGCCCTGAGGGTGTTATGTGTTGACAAAGCTGAAGCTGGACCTTTGGCCTTCTCTAAAGAAGAGTGTAAATGTGTATTGAGATTATGGATATTGATATTAACAAATAACTGATTTTACAAAACTCCAGGAAAGCTCAGTGAGCAGTGGGCTATTATAGGGTTACATGTAATTCTAGAAACTAATCTTGGCTAGCACACGCCCAAGGATTCCAAGAAGGAAAACACACACGATCTCTCTCTATCTTGCTTCAGTGGTTCTCTCACATGTGAAGCCAGTGCCTTACGGGACAAGGGACTGGTGTGGGGGTAGGGTTTTTCTTTTTTCAAATGAAGCTCAGTAGGCTGAATGGTTCTGAAATGTTAAACTCTCAGATCTTCTCAGTGTACATGTTGTAACCCAGTGGTGACACCTTTATTTAGACAAATGCAACAGTAGAATGCTTTACCAGGATTAAATGAACTGGCTGAACACACAGAAGAGGTGAAAATCAAGCTGCTACAAACCTGGGCCAGTTCCAGATAGGAAAGCACTTCCCCGTCGATGCCCACACCATTCATGGCAGCCTTGGTCAGTTCCTGAACCGCATGCTGCTCTGCGGAAGAGAGAGGGCAGGAGAACGTTACACTGTACTCCGCGGGCCAAACATGGGTCTGCAGAAGCTGGTCTAGGACCATTATAAGAGAGGAAATCTAGGACGTAGCTCTGGGCAGCCATCTGAACTGAATCCAGGATCCATTTCAATGTGTGGCCTTTCTGTTTGCAGAGTTCTGCTTTCCAGTCATTAGATCATCATCTTCTTTGGGGACTCTTATCTGTACTTCTGAAACAGCCAGGATCCTCCAGACCTGTACTTTCCTGTCCAGGACAGTAACTGTAAGCCATATGAGACTATAGAAACTTAAATGAATTCAAATTAAATACAATGAAAAGTTCAGTTCCTCAGTCACACTGACCATATCAAATGTGCCATAACCACATCTGTCCACTGCACTGAACAACGCAGAACATTTTCATCACTGCAGGACAGTTCTACGGGACAGTGTAGTTTTCCATGGCACCACTTTCTTACACTCCTCTAGACACGTTTTTGTTAGTTTTTTCACACACATCATCCTGACAGTGAAGAGATTGAGTGACAGAAGAGTAACACTATTTGGAGAATTAAAAGTGTGAATGCAAACATCTGTCTCAGCAGCTACAGATGTATGATGGATTGCTTGATCTCTTGGATTATAAAGATGGCTTGCACTTCAGTAAGAAGTTCAACAGAAGTCTGATTTAGAGAGCTATTTCTACCTGTGAGCTTGTGTATGCTCGCATTCGTATGCTGAATTTAAACTGTGATTTTCAGCCTTAGCTAAGCACTTTTTGCCTCCCACCTCTAGGGCTGACATGAGATACTGGCCCAGGATTTCTAGCTCTGCCATGTGTCACTACTGGCACTGTGCTTGCTCTTCTAATCCAGCAGTGAGTATACTTTATTTTATTGTGCTTCACTTTTTTACACTTTGCAGATATTGTGTGTGTGTGTGTGTGTGTGTGTGTGTGTAACACACTGAAGGTCTGGGCAACCCTGTGTTGAGCAAGTCTATTGGTACCATTTTTCCAACACCATGTGTTCACTTAGTATATCTGGTCGCGTTTTGGTACTCCTCTCAATACTTCTAAGTTTTTCATCATTAATGTATATCTTACGGGGACCTGTGATGGGTGACTTTTGGTGTTACTATTGCAATTGCTTTGGGGTATCAGGAACTGTGTCCGTGTAAGAAGGTAACTATTGTGTGTGATCTGACTGCTCACTGACCAGCTGTTCTTCAGTTTCTCTCCTCCTCCTGGGGCCTTTCTTTTCCCTAAGACATTATAACATTGAAATTAGGTCATTTAATAAGCCTACAATACCTTTTAGCATTCAAGTGAAAGGAGGAATTGCCTCTCTCACTTTAAATAAAAAAGCTACAAGTGATTCTGCTTAGTGAGCAAGGCATGTCAAAACCCAGGATAGGCCAAAGCTAGGCTTCTTGTACCAAACAGTCAAGCTGTTAATGCAAACGGAAAGTTCTTGACAGGAATTAAAAAGTGCTACTCCAGTGGATGCATGAAGGATGAAAATGAAAAACTGTCTTACTGCTGATCTGGAGTTTTAGTGGCCTGCACAGAAGCTCCAACCAGCCACAGCACTCTCTTAAGCCAAAGCCTAATCCAGAGCAAGACCCTAACACTCTTTAGTTCTGTGCAGGCTGAGGGAGATGAGGACACCGCAGAAGAACAATCTGTAGCTAGTAGAGGTGGATTATGAGGCTTACAGAGGAAAGCCAGCTCCATGACCTAAGGTGCAAGAGGAAGTGCCGATGGGGAAGCTGCAGCAAGTTCCCCTGACTCGGCTAAGACCGCTGACGAAGGGACTGCACTCAAAAACAGCTTCCCAGTGTGGACAGAACTGCCTTAGGAGCAGGCCACCGGCAGCACTTCCACAGCTAGAGAGGAGGAGCCACTGCCTGGCTCCAAAGTTCAAAGGCAGAGTGGCCCTGTCATTAGAGGCTAAAGTAGCTGGTGACTTTAAGTTGAAGCCAGTCTTTATATAATTACCGTTCTAAAAATCCCAGGGCCCTGAGAAACTATTCTAAATCTGCTCTGCCTGTCCTCTACAAATGGAACAACAAAGGCTGGAAGATGGCACATCTGTTTACAAGACAGTGTATTGAGTATTTTGAGATGTATGCTCAAAAAGAAAAAAAGGATTCCTTTGAAAATATTACTGTTTATTGGAAATGCACCTGGCCACCCACGAGCTCTAATGAGGATGTAAAACAGCCATGAATTAAGTAATAATTTCAACTTTCATATTTAAGAGATGTATTTTTCCTGGGGATTTAGCTCAGTGACACAAACACCCCGCCTGGCAAACATAAGGTCATGAGTTCAATCCCTCGTTATATATATAAGGCTGGAGCTGCCACAGGTAGTCATCCTCTTATGGAGCTGGGAAAAATAAATTGAAAACTTTCTTGAAAGTATTTACCATTCTAGATGGCATTAAGGACAATTGTGGCTTGATATAGTCCCAGCTACTAAGGAGGCTGAGGCAGGAGGACTGAACTAGCCTGAGAAATTTAGCAGAACCCTTTCTTGAAAAATACAGAAAGATGGGAATGGTAGTGCAGTGATGGAACTCCCCAGGTCTGCAAAAATATCAATGAAACATTTGTGATCCATGCGAGGAGGCCACAATATCTCATAGGAGTTCAGAGGGCTGTGAGGAAGGCACATGGCTGTAATCCCAGCACTCAGGAGGCTGAGGCAGGAGGATCACCATGGATTTAAGGCCAACCTGGGCTACACAGTGAGTTTAAGCACAGCCTAAATTACAAAGCAAGACTGTCTCAAAAACAAAACAAAGACTACATATATATATGAAGTTGATTCCAATCTTTTCGCGAGAAGGATCACTTCCGTGTTGTTCAATGCTGGACTTAATAAATTACTTTTCACTATTTCAAAACAAATCAAATTTATTTTCAAAGCTCAAATCATTGTAAAGCTGTGCAGAGCTGCATTTGAGTTTATATTTCTGAAAAATAAATTTTGCATCACAGCCTCATACAGTATTTAAAAAGTAGTACACTCATTGCAATCTGTGACTTCAGGTATGTTGGTTACAAAGTTTTTTTAAAGTCTAATGGTGATGCTTCTACTCTCTTTTCACTCAGGGGAGAAGTAAGGTAAAGAAAGGACTTTGATCTATTAGTTTGTTTCAAATAGAAGAAATCTGTGGATCAACTGTGTATTATGGCACAGGCCTGTATCCCCTCAAAACTCTGAGAGGCTGAGGCAGGAGGATAGTAAATTTTTCAGAATAAAAAAATAAAAAGAATTGGGAATGTAACTCAGTGTAAAGTCCTTGGGTTCAATTCCCAGTACTGTAAAACAAAACCAAACCAAAGCCTTGGGAGGATGGAAAAATTAATCTTTCATGGAAAGTCATTGCTAGAAAGTAAAGTGCATTTAGGATTGGTTGGTTTGTTCACATGCTCACTTTTATTCAATTATTATAATTTTGAGACAGGTTCTCACTGTGTAGCTCAGGCTGGCTTGGAGTTCATGACAATCCTTCTCTCTTAGCTTTCCTAGTGCTAGGATTATAGGCACACACCACCATGCCCGGATAATTATTTAATAAATATTTATGGAGAACCTAATATGCTCATAAACTTTTCCATGTGCAGGGGAAAGACCAACGACCAAGATAGTCCCTGCTTTTCTGGTTACTAGGAGTCAATGAAACACAGTGGTAAACACCCAAATTGCTAACTGACACCTCTGATGAATGAAGCAGAAGGTTTAAATGTTTAAAAATGGGTATTTAAATGCATATATCTTACATATAGGCTTGCTTTAGCTTACCAATGGAACAAATCTAGAAATCACAGATAAGGTTTCTGAAGATAAGCCAAATCTCCCTTGCTTTTTTTTTTTTCTTCCCAAAATGAACTTGACAATGTCAGAACATTTTCTAAAATAGCTTTAAGAAAACCACTTACATAATGCTTACTATGTGCCAGACAGTGTTCTAGGGACTTTATATATTTTAACTCGTTTAATCTTCATAAACACTCTGTGGTAGATAATATTATCCCCCTTTTAAGGAGCGAGATCGCTGTGATACAGAGCTCAGGTTATGTAAAGGAGAAAGTCATGTGGCCGGTAAGCTGTGGAGCCAGGATGGGAAGCCAGCTCTGCAGTTTATGTTCTTAACCACTGCACCATTGTCTCTCCCTTAAACACTATGTCTGTGCACACATTCTGGGGATAACAGTTTTATTTCAAATTCTGTGACTCAGCAAGTACGGAGTGGTGCCTCCCGGGCAGGGGGCTTGGGTTACTCATCTTTATATCTATACTACCTAATAGGACCGGCCACAAAATAGGTCTGTAATACTTACTGAATCGAATGGGATTGTCTAATACATCTGCTCAGCTCCTATCACCCGAAATGAGATGGTTTTGCTTGGGCGGGGTATAGAAAAGTTTTATTCTGAGGAAACCGTATTTTTGTTTAAAAGTGACTTTGATAAATATGGCAGGCACAGCACAGCTCCAAGTCTCCAGCCTTACCTGCAAGTGCAACCAAGTGTGGCAGGCAAAATCTGTTTGCCAAGGCGATTAATTCCAGTGGGTCCAGGTCCAAGTTAGGTGACAACTGCTTGGTATAGAGATAATCCAACACTGCTTGCATTGATATCTTGTTTATGTTTGGGAGATACACCTGAAATGTTATAGGAAAAGCTGAATTCTGCTGGTAAAAGCAGGCACATTTTCAGGCGATGCTGCTTATAAATACCCCAAAGGCCTGACTTGATACCTGCTTTGAGGCTGTACATAGAAGTGGTTCAGTATTTATGGCTTTAAACATAATAGCATGATTTGTAGAAGACAAAAGAGTGGAATTGCCTGACAAAGCCTGATTCGGAATTTTTAAATGGCTATTTGGACGTATAAATCAGACAAATGGACTGTAAATGTTTGATGACATTATGAGCCCTCCTTGCCAAGTACCTGATAATATTCTATTGTGGAGAAAAAAATCTCCTAACAACATGACAGGTGTGCATGTGGAGGGGAGCTATAACCATGCTGTTGCTGACACAGGGTGTCATCCGGCTCCCTGGGATGTCCAAAATAGAGGATGTGCAACCACCCAGATGCTACAGTGACTGGCACAATTTTGGTGTTCAATTGGTACATGCTGGTACCACATATACACTGTGTTATTTTTCCTACAACTACATGGATCCAGTGAGAACCTGTCTCAATCATGCTGGAACATGATTATGTCTCAGAGAACCCAAGAGAATCCTTGCCTGGAAAATCTGGGGGAGTGGCTGGTTCGGCATGGTAACCTGTCTCTGTATGATTCTCCCAGATCTCTCCTGGATACTTGGACTGTTTTTGATATAAATCCATGCTAGAATTTTTTAAGAATGAGAGACTATCTGGGAGCTTCACTGCTAGAGGGGTGGCTATAGCTCAACGGGGATATATATGCTTTAGCAGCCACTCTTTATGTCTTTAGCTTCATAAGGCAGAGTCTGGAAGAGTATAGAATGATATCACTTGCTTTCCTTATGGAAGTGCTGATGATTATAAAAATTAACCTAGCATCAGGTGCTAAGTTTTCCATATTCATGATCTAATTTGGTCATTAAATCTTCCCTGGAAGGAAGAAGCTGTTATTTTCCTATTTTACACTTAAGGAAATTGAGGTTTGGAGAGGTTAAGTCTTATATCCAAGGTCACAAAGATGGGAAGTAGTGATGGGGATTTAAATCCAGGGAGCATAATTCCAAAATCCATGTTTTGAATTGTGGTTCAGTACTGGAAGCCCTTAATGGAAAAGAAAAAAAAAGTTTGGCTTATAGAACAATAAAGCATTGTGTTTCACTAATAGCTTCTAAGAATTAGATTTGTAATTAAAAAGATGAAAATTATAAATGTCTTAGTTCTGGTACTTACCAAACCTGTATATAGCATATAAAGATATAAATCTATATGTTATATATACTTATATCTACCTATATATATTTATATATTACATGATTATACATCTTTCCATGTGTAGTCATACATATAAAAACATATCTCATTGTATATATATGAAATTGTATGCTCCTATGTGAATATGTATAAGAATGGAGATGAGCCCCTGCCCGCTTCTACAAGGACCTCATAGACTGTGGTTCCACAATTCAGCTATAGTGACCTTTGCTATTCTCCACTCACAGGTTACCTGAGAGAGGCAATAAACTTTAAGATGGGCAAAGCCACTCTTTAATGCTTCACAGTGAAAGCCCAGACAAATTCCTAGACATATTAAGAAATTTACTGCCTCCCCATTGTAGACCTAGTCAGTGAAAATATGATCCCAGAAATAAGATGCTTGGGTTGTTACCATAGATGACATGTTAAGAATGATAATTTCATGCTTTTTTTTTAAGCACAACTTGTACAACAGATAGAATTTGATGATAAGAAACTATTACTGATACCACTTTTTAAAAATAATGACATGCTGGATTATAAGGAATGTTATTCTCTTAACCAGTTGTACCTACATATGAATAATTAATTGCTACACTGTGTGTATCCTTACATACATGTACTGTATGTTATATATATAAATGGATTTATTTTACATAGACAATGAATTATAGTATACAAACTCATTTCTTTGTGGATGAATACCTAGCAAAATGTCATTTCTCTAGAATGATGGATCAGCACAATTTTTATAAAACTGAAGAAAAAATTGTGAAATTTTAAGATATGAATGATTTTGTAGTAAAAGCACCCACATTTTACAAAGCATACATGCTATATTACTCACGGCTAATGTCATCTTCAGAACTTCTACTCATTCAGATATAGGGATGTGCACTCCTTTCAGAAAAGAATGACTCAAGGGCTGGGGTAAGAGTCCAGAATCGGCCCAGAGAGACTCGTGAAAATGCTATGTAACCTTTGATAAATCACACATCCTCTCTGACCTTTAGTTTCCCCATCTATCACATGGGAGAAATTTGGAAGAGATGCTAACATTTCTTCACTGAGACTCACAGTTTTGAAAATACACAGATTACATTACCACTGTTTGATAAGAGTACATTCTAAATCATTTCTTACAGAAAAAAATCTTCTTTGAAATACAAATGTGAAAATGGGCATCCTAAGTAAGAGAGTTATTTCTGGCAGCAGGTGAGTACAGATTCCAGTGGGCGGCCATGCCCCAGTGCTCCCAGGGTCCTGGTGTTCCTGTGTCTGTAATCACTCATGGCCTGCTGTGTCCTTTGTGATGAATATGAATTAACATTTTTTGAAGCAGTGATTCTCTTTGGAAAATAATGTTAGGGATGCTTAGAAGTAACCATCCAATGGGAATCAACTGAAAACTTTTTCATAACATGCTTCTCCTCCTCATGGATGATTTTTTAAAACAAAATCTGATTCTGTGATTTCTACATTTATAACTCACTATATATTGAGAGAGTGAGAGATAGAAAAGTAGACAGAAAGAGGCCTTTTAATAACACTTGAAAAATAATATAAAGGTATAGAAGAGTGAAATCATTTGCATCCCAACTGCTGAATGTAAAGAAAAGAGTAATGAAAGAAAATATAATGCTATCCTAAACAAGGTCCCACATACCAGTTTAACATTTTAATTGTGAAGATTATCTTGGACCATCAGGCTTATAATTAGAGATGCTTTCATAAAGAATAAGAAAGTATTTGAACTCCCAAGCACCACTTCCTATAACCAAGCATGCATTTTTAATGAGCCACTTGCTGAGTACCTGTGGGGTGGGGAGAGAATTATGCTTACTGCTGCATAAACGTAATGAGAAAAAATAAAAGTAAAAGCAGTGTCTTTATGAATATTAAATGACAATGTTAAAGTGACATCAGTGGGCATAATTTCTTTTTTTCTGGATACACATGTTTATACGGAACTATTAATATCCCCACCACACCAAAATATAGGCTGACTTTCATGGGTGAAGCAGGTTTCCTCAAGACAAGAAAGAGTCCAGAAGATGCCCAGCAAGGCCTTGGCCCAGGGCTGAACACAGAGCTAAGTCAAGCATGGGGTTTTACTTGACAGACTGACTTCTCACCACATCTGTTACTGCCACTACATGACTTTCTTAGCTCAGAAAAGAGTTAGGGGCCTTTTCATTTAGAGCTTTTAGGGGGAAAATATCTTTGACCTCAATGGAAGGAATTTAACAAGGATACTCTGGGATAATGTCTCTGACGCTTGTTGAGTATATGCATGTTCTTGGTACACATACTATCGCTGTTTTGCCCTTTGAAGAAGATTCACCTGTTATCCCCATTTCTCAGATAAGGAAACATGTATTTTGAGGATTGGTCACTTGCTCAAGGTCAAACTGAGACTAGAGTTTATAACTCTGTATGACTGTTCATGCAGCAAATAAAAAGGACAGGAAGTGGTGGGTATGTCAACAGCTTATGACAGTCTCAGTAGAGTGGATAATGAATTTCAGTACAGACTTTTGGTTACTTGGTTCTTGAGCTGGTTTGAAATGGCCTCAGCTGCTGTTCTAAGAAGTGAGTGACCTAGTCCTTCCTGGAAGATGTGCTAAACCCGAGGCCACCGTCCAGCATGGCTGTTAAACAGCCACACATGTGTACAGGGCCGGGGATATAGCTCAGCGGCCTGGCGCCTGCCTGGCAAGCATGAGATTCTGAGTTTGATCCCTGGTTTCAAACAAACAAGCCAAAGATATGTGTGCATTCACAGTTACTGTCGAGATTTTTGTTTTGGTCAAGGCTACCGCAGATTTTAATCTGGAGAAGATTACAGTCCATTCTGTGACGGGATAAAGAGGATTAGCATGCATGAGGTCAGCACTGACAGTGTCCCTTTGTGACTGGGTTCCTGACCTTGATCAACTTCTCTGGCTCAGTTAACAGCAGGCTCTCTGCTGTACCATCAGCACGCATCTCAGTGAGCTGGAAAATAAGGCAGCAAGCCTCTGAGCTCTTTATCTCTGGAGATTACTGAAGTCAGTAAAATGACAACTGGATGAGGTTCCATTAATCAGTGCCTATCCTGATGTTTTCTTGGAAGTAACAGGGGAAGAAAACTTTCATCAGCATCAGCATCAAAAGTTGACAACAACGTGGTAGTAGCGGTAGCCACTCATCACTTAATCCTTATGAGGTACTTTGCAAGTATTGACTCTGCCTCAAAACCGCACCACAGGTTATTACTGTGTCTTCCCAGTGGAGCACAGAAAGGCTCAGACACTTGTCCTAAGCCATGCAGCTTGTAAGTGAAAGCGTTGTGGTTTAAGCCTCACAGTTCCTTAACTACTGAGCTCCACCGCACTGCAGAAATCTCAGTAATGAAGCCCCGAACACTTCTGCCCATAGGGGAAAGACTAACAAGGTACAAGTGAGAACCTCTTGATTTATAAAGGCTGTCAGACACTAGAGGAGATCCCTGGGATAATTCTAAGGCTTTTTCCCAAACAGCAGACGGGCCTTTGCGGAGTGGGGGGTGGAGCGGGTGGCTGGAGCAGCTGCAGTGTGAGCTGGAAGTGGAGTGACCTCCTCAGCCCCAGCCATCCTGGGCTTGTGATTCCAGGGTTCTGTTTCTCTACTTGGAGATGCAAATGTGGGCTCCTGGGTCACAACTGGGAGTGCTCAGATTTCTCCTTTGAGCACCCCTTTTGAAGAGTTAGCCATTGTTTTCTGTATTTCTTTTGAAAGTCTGGAGAGATGCTGAGATAAGCAAAACAAGCTTCTTAGGACAATAAACTTGATGTCCCCATGCTTTTTTCTTTGTAAAGATGTTAAAAAACAGTTACAAAACTCAACAAAAACACTTGCTCATTCCTAAAGTTAGACGTGCTTAAACATATTTTTTTTTTCAACGGATTTGAAGGGAGATAAAGATCCCAGCATGTCTGTGATACTGCTTGCACGGTCCAAAGGAAACCCTTCTTTTGGCACTGTGTGACCCACAAACTTTGGAAAGTATGTTTAGGGGACCATTGTTCCCACGCTAAGGACCCTCAGAGTCTCTCCACAAAGGCAGAGAAGTTGGGGCAGAGCTTCTGAGCCCAGCACCACAGCTCACAGTGGACATTGTAGTCCACTCCTCATCTTGCAGATGAAGAATCTGAGGTTCAGGATGTGGTTTCCTAAGGCCCTCTGTCTGGCTAAAGAGAAAGCTGGACTCCAGACTTTAGGGTCTGAAGAATTATTCTCACTTTCCTGAAACTCTGGTAGAAAGGCTTTGTGCCTCTTGTACTTGATTTTAATTTTTAAATTTTACAGTACTAGAGATTGAGTCTGAGATAGAGAGAAATAAAAGAAAGGAGACGATGAAATTATAAGTGAAACTGTACTTTCAAGAAGACTGCAACTTTTGGGTCTCAGCATTTTCTTGGTTAAATTTATGCTCCTTGCCTTTCAGATCCATTACACTCAAAATTCCTCAGGAATACTGGAAATCAATAAACTGGTTTACTTGAGAAAGTAAAGAGCAGTGACCTGATCCTAAGATAAAGGATCAGGTTGAGAGAATCAAAAGAATGTTTAAAATATCTATGAAAAAAATACTGGGCTATGTAAAAAAATACAATGTGGGCCACTATCATTGTTGGGGGTCAATCACTTTTTCCTAGGGTTTCTACCCCTCAAGAGAAGCATAAAAATTTCCTGTTCCAGGAAATTAAATACTTGCTCTCTTAAGGACCTGCGGTCTATTTGTGTGTGTACTATACTTTCTAATAAACCCTCCCCGAGCCTCTTACTGATGGGCCTGAAAATTCTTTTTCTGTAACAGACGTCAGCACAACTGTGAGCTTATTTTATGTGTAGTAGGATCCTAACTCCAGTTTTGAGAACCTCCTCACACCCTGTCTGAGGATGTTTTTCTCTTGGTGAACCACAGACAGGAAAAACAGAGGCATAGGGCCCTTGATGACCTTGGTAAGTCCAGCCAAAGGCTTTTCATTTTTTTCTTCCAACCTTTCTTTATTTTTTACATTGAGACAGAGTTTTGCTAACTCACTAAGTTGCCTGGGATGGGCTCAAACTTAAGGTCCTCCTGCCTCAGCTTCCTACTTGTACTTAGTTTTGGTTGTATTTTGCATGGTAAAAAGTCTGGCTGGTCAAAAGAATCTGTGAAGACGAAAGGCTATGCTCGATGGAAAGCAGTTAGATGCTCAGACACTAGAGATCCATCATCAACAGCTCCTCATCACTGCAACTACCTGAAACTCAAACACAGGTTAAGGAACTATTTCATGGAAGGAGTTAAGGAGCTGAAGTCATCTAGCTAATGAAACACTTTGCATAACTGCATATACTCTCGGGGCGGCACCTACCTCAGTGTTGGCGCTCTCCACAAAGGACCCCCCAAACATGGCAGCCATCCACTCACAGCTGCAGATCAGCAGCGGCTTGTGTGCACTGATGGTTCCGTCATCCAAAGTGAATGTCACATCTGCCAGAGCATTGAGGGAACACCATGAGTCAGCTTTGCCGAGAGCTTAGACCATTCAGCTCCATCACAGGTGTCTGTCTCCCTTCCACTGCTGCTTTTATTTTTAGGGCAGCCTCTACCTTTGCCAAACCCAATTCCCATATTAAGGAGCAAACATTTAAGTTACACATCAAGTTACAACACAAATTCTTTGAAACAGAAAGTAACAAAAGGGAGAGGAATATTTTTTCCTCCAAATATACAGAACAGTGGAAAGAATAATGCAGGTGAGTTTCCTTTATCTGAAATGTTTGGGACAAGAAAAACTTTAGATTTGTTCAGATTCTGGAAACATAAATATCTTGGCAATGTGACCCAAATTTGAACATAAAATTCATTTATGTTTCATGTACACCTTATACACACAGCCTGAAAACAATTTTATACAATGCTTTTAGTGCTACTGCATTTTTACTGCAAACTGTTATATGAGACAGGTATGGAATTTTCCACTTATTGGCTGTTAGAAAGTTTTGGATTTTGAAACATTTTAGATTTTGGATTTTTGGATGAGTGTTGCTCAGCTTGTGTAACAACCACTCAGTTATCCATTGTTAACATTTTGCCACATTTATTTTAGCTGAATATATATTTTTATATATGTGTGCAGACATTTTACAGGGGTAATATGGCACTCACCATGAAATCTTCTAAAACTAAGAGCATTCCCCTAAACAACTATACCATTACTATTCCCTAGAAAACTAAAAAATAATTCCTAATAATAATACTAATGTTATATACTATGTAGTTCATATCAAAATTAATCTATTTCTAAATTTTTTTTGTCTTTTTCTTTTTTTATTGGTACTGGGGATCAAACTCACGACCACAAACTTGCAAGGTAGGCGCTTATGCCGCTGAGCTAAATCCCCAGCCCCTCTATTCCTAAATTATATTTAATAGTTTTTTTAATGAAGTCAATTGGTGTTCTCATCATATATTTGGTTTTTTTTCCTCTGTATTAATCAGAGGATGATTTTAGTCAATTTTCACAAAGGTCCACTGTTCAATTTGTAGCATATTTTCTTTAATTTTCAAGATTGTTTCTATATTATAATGGCCAGAGTTTGGGGTAAATTGGATTATTCACAAACTTTAAAACTAGTCAGTAGATTTAGTTACTAAATTCCTTAACCATTTACTAAATGTATTGTACCACAGCAAGGATTATGATAAAGTCAAATAGAAATATCCATATAAATAGAAGCGAGGAAGTCAGCTTTTTCACAATGAAGTACACACCCAGCCATACCTACAAACACACCCAGTGGACAGTTTTAGAATAAAAACAGTTCAGGTGTGTAAGGCAACACCAGCAAGGGCCAGCAGCCCAGACTGGATAGGATTTACCAGTGTGCTTAAGCAATGTATGAATAGTTATCAAAGATAAACAAAGGGCAGGGAAACTATAAAACAATGTCACCAAGGAGCATGAGGGTGGAAAAGAAGAAGGTGATTGAAGCAGATGAGGCCCCCGCTGTGGGAATGCAATGGCCTCCAGGACTTCAGTGACCTCAAGGCCAGAGGTCATTGCTGAAGGATCAATAGAAAATTGGTCAAGGGTTGGATCCTGAAAAGGAACTGCAAACCTGGAGCTGACTGGAGGTAGGTTCAAGGATACATGTTCTACCTTGAAGAGCAATGTGGGGCCACAGTGGGTTAGGGAACAGATTCCTGTTGCCATAAAGTTTGGGTCCAAGTTTTTACTCTATTATTTACTGCTTGTGATGCCATGTGCAAGTTACTTAAGCTGTATGTTTCCCCATCTTCAACGTGAAGAGAATAACCGTTAAGTCCGACAAAATTAAATAGGTTACCACCTATAACTTTCAAGGGTAAATGGAAAAAGCAAGCACTTATGGATTCAAGCTATGATTATTTTTTACTCTGCTCATAGTTGGCCAACACTTGATAAAATACTACCAAAGGTCTTGGTGGCTTCACCACAGGCCCTGCTCACCTGAGAATGTCCCCTTGCTGAGACACTCTTTTATCCGATTGGCTTTCCTGACATGAAAGGCTTTCGTGATCTCCTGGTTCATAAAGGCTTCCTTATTCATGATGTTCTCCACCATCATCCTTAAATCAAACATTTCTAGGACTTCTGCAATCTGAGCCAGCCCCACCAAATCTTTTTCCTTTTCGTCCAGCTGCCCTGTGTAAAGGAACTGGAGCAAAGTCCGGAAAGGTCCTGACTGCACCGATGAGTCCATCTTGACCACAGTCACGGGCCCCACTCGTTTCGAAATGGGATTGACCTGCATTTCCTTGTGCATGCCAATGAACCCCTTACTCCAGCCTGACAGTGTCTGCGTCTCGGGAACTGAACCCTCGGCTTCCAGCCCCAGAGTCTCCAAGGGGATCTGGCATGAGGATGTCCCCTGATCACCCTGAGGTGTCCTAGGGGGGTCTTCCTCCCCTTCCTCAGCTGGGTCAAGACTCAGTGTCCGCCCCTGGGATTCCCTGCTCTGTATCTCCTTTTCACAAACTGCTTCGCCCCAATTTGGGGATTCTTCACATTCCATTAAGAAAAGATCGTAAAATTTGGAAGAAGAGGTAGCAAGGTAAATTCGATGTGCAAAGATGTGTTCCTGGTCCTGGAGGATGAACAGGACATCGGCACACAAAGGATTGTCCAGTAAACAGGCAGCTTCGTTCGTCCCCATGGAAGGACACTCTGGAATTTTGATGACCGGTGGAGGGGCTTTTGGAGGTAGGAAGGGAGCCTGAAGTAAAGGTTTCTGGACTTTTTTTAAGTGGGACTTCCAGAACTGCAGGTGTCGGCGGGAAATCAGTGCTGCTCGGATTGCATTGTCAAATACATCCTTGATTCCAAACTGGTCAAACACACTTGTTTCATAGTATGGTATACCAAGTTCCTTCGCAACCTCGCGACCTTTTTCTGGGGGCAAAATATCACCTCTCTTTATGGGCCTGAAATAGAATATTTAAAAAAAAATCACAATCAGCCTTATTTCCAGGTAAAAATAATAACCAGAGCCTAAGCACCTAAATGAATTATGCATTTGAAATCCCAATCAGTTTTTAATAAAAAATCTATGACAAACTAGATTACAAGTATAGAGAATTTATTACTGCAGGAAAAAATTGCGTTCAGTAGAAACCATAGTAATGAAAGTACTGGCATTTTAGTAGCTGTTTGATTTTGGGTGAGTGACTTAACTTCTCTAAGCCTTCTTTTCCCCATCTAGTACATATATCTTGACGACTTATTGGAAGATTCAAATGAGATAACATGCTTAGCAGGGTACTTGGTCCACATAAGTGTGGCATAAATGTTACCCTCATTATCACTATTGCCACCACCATCATCATTTTGTACTTTAAATTTTGCTTTATAACTTTAAAATACATTTTTTATTTGAGCCTTATAATGATGCTATGAGGTATTTTTTGTTGTACATTCTGAAGAAACTGAGGCAGAAAGCTTAAAGGGTCACATCTGCAAATTATTGAGAGACCTCTAACTAAACAATTTGAGCTTAGACTCCTCTATTCTTAAACGATTCTCTAATGGACTCATGAATTCTCTTTCACATCTATCCCCTTGTTTTTTTTTCCCTTACGCCTTTCATCATGTCCTCTTCTTTTTTGTTCGGACTGCTACATTAGCTTCTGAACCACTGTTTCCTCACAATCTTTAATTTTATCCTGTAGTCCTTACTGCTATGAGAGAAGCTTTCAGTAGCACAAATATGACTTGGGAGCAATTATGTGCTAAATTCCTTTAAGTCTGTAAAGTCCATGGAATAGTCTGCACCCTTTAGTTTCCGCACAAAATCCATCTACACTCTAATCAAACCCAGCAAGAGCAACAAACCAGTATGATGTTGTGGTTATAGCATAATCGTGGTAAAGGAACAGATATATTCCAGAAATGGATGAGCTGTGACTGGTTGTGCCAACTTTTCAAAAACAAGTGCTTGATTCTGAGACATATTCTTAGGAAATGATGTAAGTACACATTTGGCCTCTGATACCAAATATAATATGTATGACAGATATTGATCTCTAGATAAAAAAGATGACAATGGTTGGAATTTGGATTTGAAGACCTGGATGGGAAAGAAATGTTGTGTTTAGGGAATTGGCAAAGATGTAAGGGAGAAGTATAGGGAAGAAAAATTGTTTTTCAAGGTTTGCTTCTGGCGGCCTCATGTGTTCCTTGGTCCTAGTACTTTCTAATCTTTGCTAACTGATAAAATTTCTCACGGCTTAACTCAAATAACCCTTCTGCATCAAAACGCAGACTTGCTCTATAGAAGGGACTGTTCCCTCTATTGTCCCTTCAGGTCTGCAATCCTCCTCCCATCACCTACACACAAGCGTGACTCTTAACATTGAGTTTCTGGGCCATGGGCTGGGGATTTAGCTCAGCGGCATAAGCACCTGCCTTGCAAGCAGGCAGTCGTGAGTTTGATCCCTGGTACCAATAAAAATGAAAAAGACAAAAAAAAAAAAAAAAAAAAAAAAAAAAAAAGAAAAGAGTTTCTGGGTCATGCATTTAAGAATGAAAAGACTATGAATACTGGACATGAAATTTTATCCAAAATGTAGAGCATCAGAAAATATCCAAAGAAAGCACTTTTTTTCAGAAATTTTATCCAAAATGTAGAGCATCAGAAAATATCCAAAGAAAGCACTTTTTTTTTTCCCCCACTGGAAGAGCAAAGTTGTGTCCATGCATATTTTGGTTACAAGCCTATTATTAAGCAAACATCAAAGCAAAGTACTAATATCAAAAAGGTTTGAAAAATTTATGCTGTGCTACAAAAAAATAGTGACATGGATATGATACAAAATTGTTTAGTACAAAGGGAATCTGAAGGAACGTGGATTTTTAAAATTTTACTTTTCTTTCTTAAGCTGGTATGCATATCTTATACATAGTAAAATAAATCCTGCTTCAAGTGGTTTTTAAAATACTTGTGAAACTGTAGAAATGTAAGTATTAGAGACATTCAAAAGTAATGTTTTCCCTTTTGCAACTTGAGGTCTAAATTATTTTTAAAAACTGGACACTATCATTTTTGGAATGAAATATTCTTAAGAGACTGGGCTAAGGAGTATGAGGAGGGTTAAAAAAACTTGAAAGTACATGTTTGTAGGAATTTGATATTCCCTGGAGCCAAGAATTGTGGTTTGTTACTCTAAGCATCCATTAACTTTAGTAATACTCATAATTTATGTATTTTTTATTTTTGGTACTGCAGATCAAACTCATGACCTCGTGCTTGCCACGAAGGCACTCTGGCCCTGAGCTGTATCCCTGGCCCAATGATCATAATTTCAAGAAGGACATTATTATGGGCAGCTAATATTTTGCACAATATTTTATACATTTGAAAGCCTGTCTACTACAGGCACCATTTCATACTTAGAGAATTCGCATCAAGTGCTGGCCAGCAACTTTACAAGAATCGTAAGAGATGATGTCATAAGAGATGTCACCGGAGATGAAGGTGAGGGGAAAAGAGGCCAAGGCATTCCCCATCATGACTAATGGACTGACTGAAAGCATATGTCTAATTGACGGGGTCCCAGAATCATTGAGGAATGGAACGGCAGGCTGCAGAGACACCTGCTACCTCTAATTCTTAATTTGACCAGGCAGCAAAACGCTGAGTCCTTGGCTTACCTTGCTAACGGACGTCTGGCTCGATTAACAGCCTCCAGATCGGCATAGCGGAGATCAAGCTGGCAGCCAACTAGGACAACAGGTGTGCGAGGGCAAAAGTGCTTGATTTCTTGATACCACATGGTTTTCACATGATTTAGGGAATTGGGATTAGCGATCGAAAAACAGAGGACCACAACATCTGACCTAAAATGAAACCACAACAGAAGCTCGTATTGACTTTTTTCTTACTATCATGATCCCTTCCCTCCCCCATTCACCTAATGCCTTATCATGTCACAGTTTAAACAAAAATCGCTAAAACATATCTCTGAGGCATGCGAACAGCCTGCTAAGCCCCCACATTCCAGCACCAACACAGCCTAACCATTTATTTCCAAGTCACCCTGCAAACGCTTATGCACTGAGAATTTCCAATGGAGTTATTTTCCAGTAGAGATGTTTACACAAACTTAACTCGGTCCAGGAACTGCAACATGCTGAACTATTTCTATTCACAAGAAATAGTTTCAAGATAAAAGAAGATAATAAAAACTACCTTTTATCAGTTTAAATATAAAGGTGATGATGATTTAACTCAATGAATAATTTAAAGCAAACAATTCAAACACTGCTGGAAATGTAACAAGTATTTGCTGCACAGAGTCAACAAATACACAGAAGGATTTCTGCCCTTCTCGTGTAAGCACACATGTAGAGAGCACAGTCACTTCTCTGCTTCTGAAAAGAAAAATCTTGAATTTGTAGGAATTTTAACATTTTACTACATGTAAGGCAAGAAGGTAGCATTTAATGCGCAACTAGGTAAGAATTAGATGGAATGCTATTCAGACAGGAAAGAACTGGAAGCAAATTTTTCAAGTGTTATATATGATACGTGGTAGATATATGGAGAAAAGAAAATTTGCTTTACAGTCAATTTTTACATCAGACTCATACACAATAACTTACCATTCTAGAAGTCAAAGAACTGTTTTACAAAACAGTTGCTCAAATACAGTGTTTGATGGATAGTTGCTAAGTAGAAGTTGTCAATCATCATTTAGGTTAAAATATGCTGAATGATGACTTTTAAAACAGTGAAGCAGAATATAAAACAAGGCATAGTTATGCACAAAGATTCAAGACTGTCTTGTAGCTAAGTTTAGAAATAAACTTATAATTTAATTAGATGTTAATTTATTGCTTTTATTGTTTATGTAATGAGAAGAATCATGCTGATGAATCAAAACACTTTCTTTTTAAATCATTAATGAGCTTCCCCCCTACATATCAATGAAGACAAACAAATATATGCAGGCAACATAAAATTTCTAAAAATAATCATTTGCAATGCAGAAAACTGCAGGGTGCTTACATTAAATATAATTCACAAGTTAAGTCTTTAAATTTATATTCAAGAAAAATTGCACCAGACCTCATCAAATAGAGAGGAAAGTCCTGAATTTAGAATATTTGCAAATTATAAAAGAAAACCTAAGGCTCAAAGTTGATGGATATATTAGTCTGCATGGCTAGAACCTTTTTGAAATAAAGATATTATCAAAGGTTCTTGGATGTTGGAATAATATGTGTAAAAATATGCATAAACATATAAATGAAAGGGAAGCATGTCTTGTCTTTGGATTCTGATTTAGTTGCAGAATATTCTGTGCTCAGTCTTACTTCCAATCAGCATAAATAACAGCACCAGTAAAGCTAAGAATGCTTTGAATTTTACATTTTTTACAGGCTTAGTCTTCTATTATTCATAATGCTATTTATATCAGGTATCTGATGAAGCTTTACTGTATACTTTGTCCTGATCATGAATTTGGTACAGTGAGAATAATATGACAATATATAAGATTTGATACTATAAAGAATTTGGTAAATTCAGCACCTAAATGTGCAATATTATGTATATGTGTAAAACTGTTATAATTGGTGCCTTCTATTTACATATTAAGGCACATGACTGTAAAGAAATCACTTTCAGAGCTTAATTTATATGACAGACACGTACCTAGATGTCAATTCTGTTATTTAATTTTATGATACAGCATGTGAGGTTTTGAAATCAGAGCTAGCTTGGTTGCCATGGTTACTGTGATAACACTCATGCCACTGAACACACAGGAGTTACCATCCAGATGACCTGTAAACAAGTACAGACAGGACCTTTGGGGTCGGAAGAAATGAAATCTTGTGATGATGGCAGCACAATGCCATCACACAATACAAGTCCTGAGGGCCCAACTTCCACCTACGCTGCATCAATATCTAAATGAATGAAATGTTATGGGAAAGCTGGAAAGATAATTCAGTGCTCTGTAGATATTTTACTCCAAAACAATTATGCTTAAAAAAGGGGGGATGTACTGAGAACAATACTACCTCTAAAGCTAAATAACTCTGAGTCAAAATTCTATATGTATCTTAGAATGTATTTTTCTTTTTTCCTTTGTAGTCTCATTTAGTTACTCTGAGAACCTGTTCCCATTATTTTACACTGAAAACAGTTAAAAATCATATTTCTCTACCAACTTGTGCAAATGTTTTTTGTTTAACTTGTGGTGAGCTAAATAAAAATGCAAATTAAGAAAACGATTAACAAACTATACAAAATTCTTTTCTTAAGATCTGTCATGCAAATGTAAGACCCTAAACACAATTCCAGCCTAAAGGCTGAGCATCTGTGAACATAATGGCGGCCTACAGAAAGATGCTGCTTTGACCCATTTCTCTCTTCCAATTCCTTCCTAATTGGTATCCACTGGTGTGTTCTGTGATATATACACCTGTACAAATCAAGCAACTATTCTGAGAATGCCATTTATTCCCTCTATAGTTTGAGCCATTTTTTATCTAGTCAAAGAAAGCACAGACCTGTAGCTAAGAATATCTCCAGTTTAGGCAGAATTCCAAGGAGCTAGAGATATTAAATAACTTTTAATCAAAACATTCATTCCCGTGTGGAGACTGCTCAATGTCTGACATAGGCTTGTGTTTAAAAATGCCATTCCTATGAAAGATAAAAGGAAAAGAGCAAGTTCTAGCTTTTCTATTTTCAGGACTCTGTTACTTTTTTTTTTTTTTTTTTTTTGAAAAATGACTTTAAAAATAATTGGGGTGTGTGATGAGGACATTTTCACGTATTAGGCAGTAGGGATAGCCTAGCAATGACCTCAGAAGTCATATTTCTGCTCTAAAAAGAATCTAGTAGGATTTAAATGGAATCTTACAGCTATTTGGAGTAGAAGGCATAACAATTTGAGACTGTGGAAGCCAAGAAAAGACTGGACAAGACTCTAAATCCAGGACTTGAATATTGAGAAGGGACAGGAAGAGGTTTGGAATGTTTATATAATTGATTTTTATTTAACAAAATTATGACTGGGCTAAGTGGCTTTATTAAAGAAAGCCAGAACCATAAACCATAAGGGTATATGGTGCCAGTTGTCCACGGAATGTTTACTTTTAAAACAAAAATATAATTTCTGTTCCTAAGAGGAAAATATCAATATAAAAGTTTCATTTGAGTACTAACATATCAAATAATGCCCATGAAACAATATTTTGACTAGTTAACTAAAAAACTGTCCAAAATAAATTGACAAGTTGGAAGAATTAGAAATCTCCAATTTCTACTGTGGAACTAGGAGGACACCATAGAGAGACCAAGGCATCCAAAGATACTTCAGCTGACAAAGCCGTTGGTTGTGTCAGTTTTTCTTCAGCTATTAAACAAACCAAAGAGCATATTTTTCCACTTATCTTTTAAGGGAAACACTGGCCAAAGATAGCATGTGGAAGATTGGCAAAGACACTGAGATAATATAAGGAATGCATACAAAGTTAGGGTCAATCTTTGTTGGACGATTAAAGGGAAAAAATTGCAGAGAAGTGCATCTTACCAGCATATTTTGGCTCCAGCCAGACTTTGAGCAGCCAACACTACGCATGTCTTCAAAGCCTGTCTTTATAGCAGCTACAGTCAAATATAGCAAACTTGGTGGGGAAGGACTGGAAAAATAACCAGAAGCTAAGCTGTGTCTCCGGTCTAAAACACCAAATTCATCCTTTGAAGAAATGATTGAAAAAGAATAGACAGTCTGTATGGTACTTCTGTTAATGAATTTTCTAAGTTCTTTACTATTATAGCAGAGGTCTCTGCCTTCTCTTTGCTGGTCTCACTATATTTTTTATTTTATATTTTTGTCTTCCCTTTATTATTTGCCATTATTATCCAGTAGAGGAGCTGCGAGCATTGGGGTTTTCTTATCTAAGTGAAGAAAAAAGTTCTAGAATCATCCTTTATCTCCGAGAGTACAATACAGTGGCTGGTAGAATCTATTCAATTTTTCAGAAAGCAGTGCGTGAGAAGCCCAGTACTGTTTTCCACTGAGTTCAGTTCTGGGTGGGTCTCTTTTTGCACTGATACTTGGTGATCAAGAAAAAGCTAGCCATGACATTTATTTGAGTTCTGCATGGCTGTATCTACTTTGTAATGTATATTTGTACTTCTAAGCCTTTCATTTATGGTTAGGCCCCATCTCTTTATATGTCACCAATGCCTACTTTCCTTGGATTTTTTTAGGAAAGGCTCTCATATCCGTTACATTGGCAGAGATCACAGTCATATTTTAATGTTTTTTTTTTTTTCTTTGTCAATGTATGTTAAGTTCTCCTCTGACAAAGATTCAAGGAGAAGTCCCTGACTTCCATCATTGGGGTTTCAAATTTCCATCTTTCCGCTGATTACTGAGGTAGGTTTTCTTCAAAGAAACATTTTTAAAACCATTCGTGTGGACCACACACCTTTCATGCACAGAGTCTGACAGTGCTATGCAAACAGACACATCAAAACAGCATGGACCAGCTGGGAGCATGGCAGAGGAAAGAAATGTGTAACAACATGTGGCTTGGAGAATTTTAGTAGGGGAACAGCCCAGTGTGTATGAGATGCGGAGGAAGTTGTCAGTGATGGCGCACAGAACCGCTTGGAGATGAATGGCATGGAAGCTCACACTCATGGAGGATGGAGAGGCCTGCGCTAGGCGGTAGCTCTGAGAAGAGCAGGGCTCAACCATGCAGTGCCCTGGATGGGAGCAGAGAAATCAAGTCAATACTTTACCAATAGTAGTGAGGCTTCTTAAGTACAGATGTTATGTGGGGAAAACTGTCAAACACCCTGAAATATATCCAGATTTGGGAGTGATTAGCATGCGCGACTATTTCTTCCAAGCTTGTAACCTCATTTTTAGTAGGAAGCAACATTTTAAACCAGTCCTCCCCCACCCTCTGAATTTGGGACCAAAGCAACAGGCATTAAGTGCAGAGAAGCCAAGTCAATGTTACACCAACGCCACCACATTCAGAGACACACAGTGCTTGAGAGTCTTAAAACTGGTTGTTCCTACCATCCTGGTACAAATCCCACAGGGGTCATGGTCCTATCAAAGAGAGTTGTGGGTTATTGTTAAAACGGCTGAAAACTATATTCTTAGTGTTCTTATTTCTCACACAACCGCCAGAAGTGGGAAGCATGTGAAATTAGGTAAAGCACAATCAATTTATTAAGCAAATAGTTTGCATAATCTCATTTAACTCCTGGCCAATGAATGCAGGACAGACAAAAGGTTTGGTTAACAGCAGGGAGTGAAATTGTAGTCTTAAATTCATTCCCAACCCTACATTTTGTTCTCATTCCTCTGTGGCTTTCCTTGAAACTGGGTGAACTTTCTTCCTCTACGTTCAGTATTTTCTCTGGAGAGAAAGACTAAAGATAGGAAAAACATCCCTGTCAACTAAAGAGCCAGATGGGAGGCCTTTGGGATTAACCTCATTGACGCTTTTAAGATGAAACTGTCAACCAGCAAGATCATCCTACCACGAAAAGGACTTCTGTCCAGGTCTCTTAGTAATCCTCTTTGAATTGGTAGTGTTACTAGGACTTGTCCAAGTCCTTAATCATTTCTTCCAGAAATAGTAACTGATAACCTACCGCATACCAGGCACTCTTCTAGCCATTTGGGACACAGCATCCATAAAGGACACCAACAACTGTCCTTGTCACGCTTATCCACATCACGCCTAGATTCTAGTGGAGGGCAGACATAACAAAGAAGGGTAATACTTGTAGCAGTAAGTGCCAACCAGAAACTAAAGCAGAGAAGGGGACAGAAAAATCAAGGAGCAGGGGCTGGGGATTTTGCTCAGCAGCATAAGCACCTGCCTTGCAAGCAGGCGGTCGTGAGTTCGATCTCCGGTACCGATTAAAAAAAAAAAAATCAAAGAGCAGTAATTGCTACCGAAAAATGAGGTGGCAAGGGAGGGCCTCACTGAGAAGGAGAAAGGAAAGGAGCAACATGGCTTTTTCGGAGGAAGTTACACTGCAGAGGAGGAAACAACTGCAAAGGCCCTGAGGCATGAGCATGTCTGGGAGGTTGCTCTCAGAAAATACTCTGGTGAAGCTGAGCAGTGAGAGGAAAACGAGCAGAAATGGAGCTTACAGAGAGGCAATGTTGGGCTGAGGTAGGGGCAGTGTCATGGATGTGCAGATTTTACTTGGGGCTGGTAGACTATTGGGAGGCTTTGAGCAGAAGGACATGATGTCACCTATGTCTTAACAAGAGTACTCCACCGTTCCGATGAGACCTGATTAAAATAGTGAGGGTCAGGGATCAGGAAGCAAAAGGCAGGAAGAAGCAGGAGATTGAGTAAGACAGTTGACAGTAGCCTTGCTCAGCCTGCGAGGGGCACAGAACAGGGGCTACGTGGTTGTATTCTGTACCCAGCTTAAAGGGACAGCCAACAGAGAGCTCGGTGAGCAGTGGGACATAGGATATGACCAAGGGACATCAAAGAGGGACCTGAGATTCTGGCCGGGGAATTCATTTCTTCTCTATTCCTAGAAATGGCACCTCTCAGTTCAGCACTTTAAGTACTAAACTGTAATAATACATGTTGTTCTCCATTTTATTAGAAGTTCATTTTCAGAAATTTTGACCTATTTCTATTGATTTCTCTCAGTGTGCACAAAACACCGGATTTGTGCCAAGCAGGCCCTCGATGAATGCTCACTGAATGAAAAAAAAGGCTTTATGGATACTGGAGGGTAAAGGCTGCAGATACCAATGTGTGTCTGGATTCAAGGTCTAAAAGAATAAATTGAGACTTAAAAGAAGTCAGGATCAGTTGGAGCTTTAATGGTGAAAATAGAATGCAAGCCAGGATACTTCTTCAGTCTATTACTGCTGAAGGATTGCCACATAATGGCTCTGGTAGATAGCAAAGGCTAGCCATTTAGTATGCTCTTTTTTTCTTTTCTTTTGTGTTTTTTTTTTTTTTTAACGAATTATTTGTATTTATCTAAAGAATCCATTTACTCAACTAATTGGATACTTTCATAACACTAGAATAACAATGGATTCATGATTTCTCCCAGGAATTAGATGATCTCCAGAAGCAGAGGGGACATAAAAAAATAGGCAGGTGACTTTTAGGATTAATTTATTAGAGTTAAGGCTGAAGGAACCCCTCTGTTTCACAGACCATCTTGCTTGTTAAAAAATACACACTCGAAACAAACAAAGTCACTAAAACGTAGCCAAAATGATAAATTTAACAAAGATTTCACTAATGTTTTATCTTTCTGGCTAACTTTGTCTTTCTGACTGTAGTGTTTTGGCTGGAGGCAGAAGTATTCCTGGGGAGGAATATGAGGTGGGATCATTTTAGAAATCTAATAAATGGCCAATACTAGAAGTCACTGGCAAGACTGTTGGTGAGATTTATTATGAAAGCTCTCTGAAAATACTCTATAAAGTACCAAGCATTGTCAGGGAAATACAATGTTGAGTTCAAAATCCATTGGAAGGTATCTGTGTATTTCTGTTAATGGGAGTGGCAGAATATTCTCAACAGGGGCCTTTCCTTTTTTTGTTCTTTTATTTATTTATTTGGATCTCACTATGTATTCCAGATTGGCCTTGAACTCACTATGTGGCCCAGGTTGGCCTCGAACTCACTGTTTCCACCGGCCTCACCCTCTGAGTGCTGGGTTATAGCCGTGTGCCACATGCCTGGCACCCTTTTCCGTTTGGCTTATCAGCTATGCCCTTTACTGACATGGGGTTGTTGAAATACCTTCCACTGTAGAATTACTTAGATGTCTCTTTCTTTTGCCACCTAATTTAAAAGGGAAAAATGGGTGTGTTAGAATATATTTCTTCATTAGAAGGTTCCGGTAGAGAAACATCAGAAATTGATGTCCCCTTTCACTCTCGCCTTCGTTGCTAGGGATAAAACCCAGGGACTCCTGCATCCCAGGCAAGTATCCTATCACTGAGCTACATTTCTGTCCTCTTTCTCTTTCTTTCCTTTTTTTCCCCTTGGTCATTTTGAAACATGATCTTGCTAAGTCCCCCAGGCTGGCCTGGAACTTGTGATCTTCCTACCTCAGCCTCCCAAGTAGTTGGTATTACAGGTATTTGCCTCTGTGCCTGCTTATCTTTTCTCAGGATGAAAACTCAACATACTTAGCTAAATTCGACCTAATTTGTCAAATTTGCAAAAATTAATTATATATACAAAAATACAGGAAGGCAAACAAAAACATTAATGATGTACTAATGAAAATGTTCCTTATTTTTGTCACCTATCTCAGTGGCCTCTCTTGGATCCATCAGTGCTCTTGGCTGAACCCCAGGGGACTATCTCTTGCAGCATGTGACCAGTGTCCTGACAGCAGCCAGCATCCTTCTGGGCTTGGAACCGAGTGAGCCCCAGCCATCCACTGAGCCCTGTTGCTATCTCGCTTGGCACTCCTGCCTCCCAAGGGCGGTTTCATCTCAGGGCCCAGGGCTGGGCCAGGCCCAGAGAGATCTCAGCTCCGCTCATGTTTTTCCTTCTGGCCATGGTATGTGTTATTCTACTTTAGAGCAGGAGGCACAGTGTGGGACAGGAGACCCAGGGAGGCACAGAGCATGGTCCTCTGTCAGCTGACCTGACTTCACTGCAATCTTGCGTTGTACTTTAGCACAGAACCCATTCATTTCCACTGCAGATTTAATTTATTGTGCTATCTGGATACATTTGGTCTAATCTATTTTTGTTGGTTTGGGATAAGCATATAATCCACCTTCAGTTGTGCTCTATGGCAAGTAGAGTGAAATTATCTATCTATCTATCTATCTATCTATCTATCAGTATATATTCTTTTAAAAACATTTTTCAATTATTCTTCTTTAAACATTTATGAGGTTCTGGGGATTGAATGTAGGGTTTTACTTTTTTTGTAAACATTTATTATTCTTTTCTAAAGATTACTCTTTTTTACAGATTATTCTTTTATTTGTTTTGTTCTTTTTTAAACATTATTATACTTTTAGAAACATTTTTGATTGAATGTAGTGCCTTATGCATGCTAGGCACGTGCTCTTCCACCTCAAAAAGACTATGCTTAGGGAAGCCAAGCATTCCCATAGGTCTTTGGGAAGCGAAGCATTAGGGCTCACCAGCTTCATCACTTACCAGTTGGCACAGTCTATGATATTCTACTAGAAAAGTGTACACATAAAATTCAAGCTAGTAAAAGAGTCTGGCGAATAAGAATTTTTCCTTGTAATACCTTAGAGGATCTTGATGTATATAAGAGGCTGATCAACAGATTCATTCCACAAACACTTCAAAGCTCCTCCTATACAGAAGACACAGGTTCTGGGGATACAGAGTAAGAAGACAAAAATCTCTGTCCCAAAGACAGTAGGAATAACAGAAGAAACGAAAGGGAAGAAAGGAAAGAGGCAGTGTTAACACAACGCAGGATCTTCCACAGTGTATAGACTTCTGTGTTAGCTGACGGGGAGGGTAGGAGGAGTCCTTTGAGGACTTCTGAGAGCACAGGACATTTGTTCCCATTATTATTAGTAGTTAACTGGATTAAAAATAGGTGAGTGTGGACATAATTTTGAGGTGGACATACTTTCTATCTGTGGGCCTCCAGACTTCAGAGGATACAATCTTCTCGCTTTGTTTTGTCTGGAGCAAGAGATGAGGCTGGGGAGGGAGGCTGGGACCTCATTCAGAGAGACAAGC